TGGGGGTGGAGGGTACACGATTGCGATTGACCTGCTCACACTGTGCAACTAAAAACCATGTTGGACTCAGCTCCGCAGTGAGATGGAGCTACTCTGTAGCTCTCTACCCTTAAGCCAAACATATAGAAGGGGGATATTAAGCTCACTATAATGAACTGTGCTACCTTGTCAATTTGTGCAATTTTGTGCTGAAAGCCCTGAAAAGAGAAAGAATAAAAAGAAGAATCCTTGTTTGCGCAGGTCGGGAGAAAGTCAAACATGTTTGATTTTCTCCCGACCTCACGATTCCTGATCGGGAGGTGGTCCTGAGAGGCTGATTGGCAGTCGTAACCCCCTGTACACTACTCGACTCACGACACACGATCAGGCTGAAAGTCGGTCCGATCGAAAGATTGTCGCACGACTGGAAAATCGCGCCTAAAATCGCACAGTGTATGCCGGGCTTAAGGCATTGTGCTTGGAATCCTGAGGCTCTGAGTTCAAGTCCCACTCCCACGGACTGCCACTCTGGGTCCCTGAGCAAAAAACCCTTAACCCAACACTGTCCCCCGTGCGCCACACAATGGCAGCCAGCCGCTCCACAAGGGGATGGGTTAAATGGAGATAGTAAATTTTGTTGCTCAGTACTTGAGACAGTTTAATGACAATAAAAAAATTATAATAAAAAATATTGGATATGATGTATGACATCTACACCAATACAGTTCTCTAAGGCCATCTATGTAGCTGTACCTGATTTTAGTGACCTTAACATAATCACTCTTACTAGAAAAAAAAACGATTCCAAAACCTATGGCTAAAATAATTTTAACACAGTCCTATAAGTGATTTAATAAAGGTTTATTTATAAGTGAAATCGCTAATGCAAACTGGGATTTAGTTTGTAGTGAGCATGTAATGGATTTATTAATGTCAATGTTTATGTATGTTTTAAATTAAATCATGGTTCAGAAGAGAACTGTGTGCTCACCCTTTCTTGAATCAAATTAATTTGTTCTCACAAAACCAGGTAATATTGCTAATAATTTTGATGACTATTATTTTGAGGAAGTATCTGAGTTAAGGCAGTAAATGAACACTGCACACAAATTTAGATCATATGAGTGTATTAAGATTATTAAAATGAAAGATAAAAGTTGTCAATTTGTATTTCAACAAGTTGGTTTTCTCATATGGGCCTGTGTTCAAGGATCTGGAAGGAGGCTAAAGTTATTCCTTTACCTAAAGGTACTAAATCTGCTTTTAATGAGGGGAACTCTAGACCAATAAGTATTTTACCTGTTTTAAGCTAAATTTTGGAAAGATTGGTACATGCACAACTTCAAGATTATTTTTTTAACAAGCTTTTTAAAAACTCAACATCCATATAGAGCTGGCCACTCAACCTCTACTGCAATGATTCATATGACTGATGACTTGCTTAAAGCAATAGATTATTCTATGTTGGTAGGTGTTATGTACCTGGATTAAAGGGCTGCTTTTGAATTTCTTGACCATATTAGTTGAAAAACTTAATTTTTATGGTATTAATTCTTATTAAGGTTCTTATCATGGTATTAAGTCTTTCAGGTCACAAAAGGTTTTATCTCAATGGTAGCCTCGCCTGTAGAAGTTTGGAGTGTGGAGTTCTACAGGGCAGCTGTTTAGGCCCTTTACATTTCTCAGTCTTTACTAATGATGTAGCTTGGGCTACAACAAGTACCAGAACTGTCCTGTTCGCAGATGACACCACTTTGTGTTATGCTGCACCTTTATGCAGCAATCAGGTTTTGAGCAGAGAACTGAGGGTTTTACATGATTGGGTGATGTGTAACAAACTGGCCCTCAACATCTCTAAGACTAAGTGCATGATGAATGGTTCAAGGCACAAGCTATCTGCAAGCCCAAAGCTTGATTTACATTTTTGTGACTTGACAGTTCAACAAGTTGAAAGTGACAAACTACTTGAAGTGATGTTAGACTGTTCTTTGTTTTGGTCTCACAACATTAATTATATTGTTTTGAAAATGGGAAGAGCAATTAGTACTGAAAGGAACTGCTGCACTTCTGTGGGTGTTCAGACGGGAACATGTAGGCTCAGTGGTTGAGAGGCAGACCAGGTCAGGATCAGGTAATCAGAAACACTCGGATACACTAAAAACACTTTCACCACTGAGATCAGACGGTAACAGGCAGGCTCAGTGGTGGAGAGGTAAAACAGGTAAGGATTGATCTCGAAATCAGAAACAGTAAGGAACTCTAAAAACACTCTCACCACTGGTTAGAGAGAACAACACTAATCTCACCCTGATAACTGGATCCAAGCACCTTAAATAGAGGCATGAGCAGGTGGATCAGATAAGCAATGACAAGAAACTGAGCAGAGCTAGACAGGTGAATGAAATGAGAAATTAAGCCAGTCATGAGTGCCAAGATCATGACACTTATGCTGTTTAAGTCAGTCATGAGCAGTAATGTTCCAGGTTTTATAAATTCACAAATTGTTTTTAGCAATTCTGCTCATGATTGCAACACTAGAGATTCCAGTAATGGGTAGCTTGTTTTACCAGGTCCAAAATCTAATGCTCAAAAGAGATCTTTTATATATTGATCATTGCGAATTTTGGGAACATTGGTTGCCATGGCGGAGCTTCAAAGCTGCGGCCGAGAACAGCTCCTGTTGACAATTTTAAAGAATACGCCGCTTAAAACGATAGAAAATAGACTTCAAACCCACATCTATGATCGCCAACACCTGCCGGAGCTAAATGTTTTAAATACTTACATTTTTGACCATTTAAAAAGCTGCGGAGTTCTACGGATCTCAACAACACAACAGCGGAACATAACTGCCAAAGGAAGAGATGCACGAGAGGGAGAAAGTGAGGCTGCAGAGGGGAGGCTAACTGTGAACCTTTTTTTTTATACCAAAAAAGTTTAAAAAACAAACCACTTGACTTTGTATTCCAGGTTTGAAGACCTTTCGGTTCCCATCCAGGAATCTTTGTCAATTCAAAATGTTTGTTTCTTGCAGCAGAATCCCCTTAAAAGAAAAACATGTGTTTTTTTCTTACAAGAAAAATATCATAAATAAAATGCGATTGACTAGCTGTTTTTTCTTGACACTAAAATGTTCACATAGAGTTTGTTGTGTTCAGAGTCAGAGAGCCGTGTCTTTCCACAGTCAGAGGTTTTTGTACGACGACTCAATCAGTTTGTATCACTGTGGTGGACTTTTGGTGGAGGAACCAGACTGGATATTGGAAGTAAGTAGAATTTTTCATTTTCTTTCATGCAGGATACTTTCTTTTAAATTTAAGGTCTAAACCAAAAATAGATTCAGAAGTCCCTGTTTTAATAATATGGTTATTTCAAACTGATTAACAATAAAAGTGTCAGGTTTTGGGAGAAATTGAGAACAGTAGTAAAAAATACAATTCAATTTTCTCTCTGATCAAATTTTTTTTTTAAGTTATTGAGGCCAAAAATTACATAAGAAAATGGTTATGGTTTACAG